TAAACACTTTAAACATTAACTGAAAGAACAACAGTTCAATCCTACCCAGAGGTGCCTTGGAAGAAAGATCTGGCAATCTGCTTCAGAAACGCCATAGCCTTGAAAACTCCATGGAAAAGTCCTAGTCGGCACATGACTGGTTGCCATGAATCAGAGTCAACAGTGTTGGGTAGTAGGGTTACAGTGATGCATACTAGTTTGTTTTAAATAGTTATTTGAATGACAGAATTTAATTGTTTCAACGAATAGTTTAAAGAAGAAGTGGCTCTTGGCTCTACGAGAATTCATTAGAAAGCCTGGTACAGATACAGAAAAGAGGGCTAGAAACCTTCGGGTGAAATGATTAAACTCTCAAAGCTTTTCCTGATCTGTTAAACAAATCTTACAGAATTATAAAAGTGTCAATATCTATGAAAGAATTTATTTTACATACATCCTAAGTCCACTAATAAATCTTATCTTTCGCTTCTCCCAAGTCAGAACTAACTTATAATAGACTGTCCAGGGGGCTTTCAAGGCTGTAAATTGAATGGGAAGAGATTGTCCATCCTCCTAGTGAGCTGCTGGTGGATTCAACCAACAGGGAAACTTTAAGTTAGTAGCAAAACTCCCTACAGACTATGCCATCAGAATGTCCCTAACAATAAATGTTATTGCTGTTCTGTGCCATAGAGTCACTTGGGACTCATAGCAACCCTATCTACAACAGCCCTGCTCTGTCCTGTGCCAATCACACTGTCTCCGATACACCCATCCTGATAACCCCAGTCACTGAATCAAACACCTTATAGAGGGTCTTCCTCTCCTGCGTTGTCCCTCCACCCCTCCAAGCGTGATGACCCTCTCCAAGGACCAGTCCCTCCTTACAACATGTCCAAAGTATGTTAGATGAAGCCTCAGAATCCTTGCCTCCAGGGAACCACCTGGTTTGACCCTTTCCAGGACGAATCTGTTTGTTTTCCTAGCAGTCCATGGTATTCTCAATACTCTTCTCCAGCACCACAGCTCAAAGGGATCAATTCTCCTTCTATCCTCCCTAGTCATTGTCCAACTCTCTGATGCATAACAAGTGATTGCAAAGACCATAGCATGTATCAGATGCACCTTAGTCTCCAGAGAGACACCATTGCTCTTCAGTACTTTGGAGAGGTCACAGGATTTATAATCCTGTGACTCATAACAACCCTATATAAAATAGCTCTTAAAGCTTGCCCTGTCGTGAGCCAATCTCACCGATTCCAATTTCAACACCCATTGTCCCAGTTACAATGTTATTCCATCTCATCCAGGTTTCCTCTCCTGCTCTGTCCCTCCACCCTTCCAACATGATGTTCTTTTCCAAGGATCAGTCATTCCTGGGCACATGCCCAAAGTATGTGAGAAGGAGCTTCAAAATCCTAGCCTCCAAGGAGAAATTTGGTTGCATCCTCTCCAAGACAGAGCTATTTGTTTCCTTGGAGGTCCATGGTATGTTCCAAGAACCACAACTTAAAGGCATAAATTCTTCTTCTATCATCTTTAGTCATTATCCAGCTCTCTGATGCATAAAAAATAATTATAAAGAACATGGACTGGATCAGGCACACTTTAGTCTCTAGACTGGCATTGTTGCTTCTCAGTACTCTGGAAAGGTCTCTGACAGCAGATTTATCTAAGGCAATTTGCCTTTTGAATTCTTGACTTCTGGTGCCAAAAGTGTTGATTGTGGAGCAGAGCAAGCTATAACTGATATCAACCTCAATCTCTTCTCTATCCATCATGGTGCTACCAATTGGCCCAGTGGTAAGAATCTCTATCTTCTTGCTGTTGAACTTCAATACATATTGAAGACTACAGTCTTCTTTACCTTCTACAGAAAGCACTTCAGGTCCTCCTCAGTTTCAGCAAGCAAGGTTGTATCATCTGTATAATGTAAATTGTTGATGAGTCTTCCTTCAATCCTGATGCCACATTCCTCCTCATAAAGCCCAGGCTCCCTAATGATCTGTTCTGCATATACATTGGAAAGGTATGGAGACAGGACACATCTCTCACACACTCCTTCCCTGATTTTGAACCATGCAGTGTTTCCCTGCTCTGTTCTGATGACTGCTTCCTGGTCCAAGTATAGATTTCGCATAAGCACAATCAAGTATTCTGGGGTTCCCATTCTCTTCAAGGTTAACCACAATTTGTTGTGGTCTATACAGTCAAATGCCTTTGCATAGTCAATGAAACACAGATAGATATCCCTCTCATACTCTTTGCTTTCTTCCAAGATCCATCTGACATTGGCGATAATGTCTCTAGAGCCATGACCTCTTCTAAACCGAGCTTGTATTTCTGGTAGTTCTCTGTCAATGTACTGTTCCAGTCGTTTCTGGGTAAAACATTTGAATCTTTCTTAACAAAGTTGTACAATGATCTTCTAGAGTTAAGTAAAATGTGGCCTAGTGATACTATCATGGCAAACTTTTTGAGGTGCCTCATGAACCAAGGTGTGGACTCCCATTTGGATCACAAGTCTTTCTATGAGTCATTACAATTCTTTCCCAAAACTAAGCCACAGTTTCCTGTTTGGGGTCACTCCTCACTCCCAGATTGGTTTTCCAGCCTGTCTGTTGTGAGTCAGGAGGTTCTTCCTTCCCGCCTCACCCTTCCATCAAGGCCTGGGGCTTATTGCTGCAATAACATCAAGGTGTGTGGGTGCAGGTCAGCAAGTGATATCATCTGTTTGTAAATAGTTTTTACAAATCACCTCCCACTGAGAAGTTCAGAATCTTTATGATGGTAATAAAAGGCCCTCCCACACACAGCAGACTGCCCTCCACAGCTTCTCTGGCAGGTGGTCACTTGGCTTCAACTTTGTGTATCCTGGATGAGTCAGTGGGGAATTTCTGACCTCATCCCTGAGCAACACCTTCAACAACTGGTTGTTAGGTGGATACCCTGGCAGAGCCATTCGGTTGTTGACAGCACAACAGCTGAGAAGCCTAACTCTATTTTTTTTAGTCCATTGATATGTCCACACAAGCCTTCTCTGGCTAGAACGATTTATAAGGCAGTGAAGCAGAGTGGCTGAGAACATGGACCAGATTATCTCCCTCACTCACCTTCTGGAGATCTTAATTACTCACTAGTGTGTATCTTTAGCCAAGTTTTCTTGCAAATAAAATAGAGACATAAAGATCTTTAAATGGAGGTAATTTATGGGAATTAAGTAAGATATATGCAAGTGTCAAGCCCTGCACTTGGTATAAAGCACTTTCCTAATAAAGGGGGAAACTGGTTATTCAAACTCATCAGCTGCTACTTGGAAGAAAAATGAAACAGTCTCTTCTCATTAAGAGTTATACAAAGAAGGGTCTCCAAGAGTTGGAATCAGCTCCAAGACAGTGAGTGTATGTTTGTTTGTTTGTTTTGTCACTACTATGAGGGTCCTGGTTGAGGCAAATGATTTGGGCTTGGCTACTAATCTATAGATTGGCAGTTCAAACCCACCCAGTGGTGCTATGGAAGAAAAGTCTGGCAATCTGCTTCCATAAAAATTGTTGATCACCGTCGAGTCAAGCACAACTCACAGTGACCCTGTGAACAAAAGACCTGAAATCCTATAGATTTACCAACTTCCTAATACACAAGATTGTCATGAATCCAAAGCAACTCAATGGTTAAGGTTTGGTTTTGCCGTTGTCTCTAGTGTAACCACTGTTATTGTTAGCGCCTCCCTCTGGACTTGCTACCAGCACTGTGAGGGAGGTTGCTCTCCCTGTTTCCTCTCTATTTAAATGAATGAGTGAAAAATATGCCCACAAGGCTGTGTTTCTGCACTTTTCAGGATGAACCTGTCATCACCTCTAGAGCATGAAAGCCCATGCATGTTTCAGAGTCCCCACATCTCACCTGAGAGTCCTGAAAAGCCATGGTGCGTTCCTAGGCTCGGTGCAGCACCAAGGAAGGACCTGCAGAGGGAGCAACCCAGCCTCCCAGAAGGTGCAGCGTGGGAAAAGTCTGCCGGAAAAAAGAGTCGGTGATCTTTCCCAACAGAAAGCTGCCTCACACGCAGCTACTGTGTGAGCCGGTGGGCAGATTAGTTTTTAAAGCCCAGCTGCTGGGAATCAGGCAGCCAGTCACCTCCATCATGCACCAGCTGGGTGACTTTGAGCGAGTTACTCTGCCTCAATTGCTCTTCTGTAAAATGGGATGAGAGCACCTGCCTCATCATTATGAGAACAAAAGAAGACGAGGCACGTAGTACATAGGAACACTGTGTCTCAAAGGCAGTTGCTGCTGTCATAATTAACTACCAGAAAGCCCCGTTCTTGTTCAGGCATAAATACTGTTTTCTGCCTTTCATAAAAAAAAAAAATATCATGCTTTCTTATCAAGACCGGTGGAGAGGTACTGGATTATAGTAACAGAACAAGATAAAAATGGTATCACTCAACTTCACGGCCGTGGAGTCAGAACAAGCTGAGAGCGGACCCACCCCACCCTGGGTTTCCCAGGCTGTGCGGTGCTCAGGGGGCGATTGCCCATCTTTCTCCCGAGGAGCTGCTGGTGGATTTGAACTACCAGACAGGCGAGACCTCAGGCTTCGAAGCACAACATTTCCAGCAAACCCGTTATACACGAATAAACAGATGGAGAAAAGGAGGGTGTTCTCAGGAGGTAGAAGCTTTATTTCGATGTGTCTTCGAAGTACAATCAAAGCAGACAGTTATGGACCATCTGCTGTGTGTGACTCCTGCAGACGTTGGTAGAATCCACTAGCTCAGCCTTGGCTCCCAGAGCTTCAGGAGGTTTTCTGAGACTGAGGGCAGAGTGTGGGCTTCTCAACACCAAAAGTGCCGTTAACTTGACTTGCTGGTAAACTCTGAGGCCTGGCCAGCGTGGGAACTAAAGTTAAATACTAGCACTATCTAGGCAGAGGTGAGGGGTGGGGAGCAGCAGAACAGAGAGGGCTGCTCTCCAGGGCTCAGGGATCCCTCCAGGGCAGCTCTTCTGGGCCACGGGCCACCTCAGCAGCCGCCAGAGCAGCAGCCTGAGCTCTGGTTGTTACCCGAACACTGGGACCTCTGGCTTCCGCCCCCGCAACAGCCGCCGCAGCCACTTCGCTGGCGACGTCGCCTCCGTGGGAAGCAGCAGCAGCCAGTGGATCTGGAGCTTCCGCAGCAGCCGCCGCCAGAGCTGCAGCAGCCGCTGCTAGATCCGCAGCAGCCGCCGCCGCTGGAGCCACAGCAGCCTCCGCAGCAGGAAGAGGAAGGAGAGGGAGCTGGGGTGGGTGCTGGCGCTGGGCACGGGGCAGAGCCCTGCGAAGACCCCTTGGAAAAGCCTTTGGCGCTCTGGGAGGACATGATGGAGCTAGTCGAGCTGAACCTGCAAGAAAAGCAGCATGTCAAAAGGATGATTTCTTTCCCATAGTGGAAGTCAAAGCTGAGCGAACAACTGTCTGACTGGTTCGATGCAAGAAAAACAAATCAAGAAACCCCAACAAAGAGAAGAAACAAACCAACAAACCCAAGCCAGATCTTTCCAGGTTGTTAAGCATGCATACATCAGCAAAACAATAAATGAGTTAATTAATTAAAAAAAAATTCAGTGGCTTCCCCTTTCTCTGCCTGTAGACCCAATAGAAATTAGAAGAGATACCGTGGCAGTTTCTCAGTGTAATAGAATCTAGAATCTTATGGTTTTTTCCTTCTCTCCTATTTCACTTTAGCCACAGATATTAAAGTAACAGCCTCCTAGTTATCAGCATTATGTAGATCTCCATCAATTAGAAAATACCCAAATCCCATCTTTATGCCAACGGCCTGGATCTAAAGAACCCACATAATCGGAAATACGCTGTGGTCATTCGCCTTGCTTATTCCTCTCATCCTCATCATCTTAAGGAAAAGCAGAGTGATACAGAGAATGGAAATACTCATTCTCAAGTCTAGTCTTGGCTTTGCTAAGAACTTGTATAACCTTTGCAGAATTGATCCTTCTTGTTGGGTCTCTATCTCCCCAATTGGAACCATGAGAAGCTGTCCTGCTTGAAGCGTAAGGCGTTTTCCAGGACTCCCCTTGCCCAGTTGTGTCCCACCCCACATCCCTCTCTGCCTTCAACTCTTCCCAACCTCCTCCTCCAGGCCCTCCTTGGATACTTACCAAACCCTGGTTCTACTGGAAGACTCACTCAGTTCTCTCACTGGAACAGGACACCCTGTGAGGCAGTGCACTGAGCAATGACCAGCCAGAAAACCTTCTTATAAGGTTACAGGTTCTGGGAGGGGCCCAATTCTCAAAACACATACTCAGCTGACACATCCCAGAGACATTCATCACTCAGGTAGCACCCGTAGGTGGTGCACGTGGGCATGCAAGTCACAGAGGTGCCAGGAGTGCTCCTGTGTGTTTATTTTCCAAACAAGACACCATTTACAGATAAGGGCTGATGCGAAGAGATGGTAAAGGGGCTTAAGAGAGGAAAGGTCTGGGCATCCCTTTCTTGGGCCTGTTCTCCCTGCTCTTTCCCCTAGTGTGTGTGTTCCCATCCTAGTGTGTAACACTTGTCCTTGGCAGTTCACCACGTTCATCTTTGTTCCAGAGGTGGATCCAAGGTATGGCAGGTATGCTATGTGCTGTGCTCTGGGAGCCACTGGAGCAGGGGGGCGCCACTGAGCAGTTTCTGTTACTCATTGCTGTTTCCGCTGCCAGCTGTCAGAGATTATTCAACAAATTAAAATTAATTGCCAAGGGCTCTGTATTCCATAGATACACAGCTGCTTGGTTCCTGTCTCTCTGACTCTTAGTCCTTAGTTCCTCTGGGGCAGAGTACGGTCTGTGTGACAAGCCTGTGGGACAACATGTTTCCAAATGGTGATGGCAATAACCCTGTGGGAATCCTAGTGAGCATGTCCATCTGTCACCAGAGGTGGGAAGAACAATCTAGGCACGATTACAAAACCAAGAACAGAAAAAGTTGTGACAGGAGTGATGCTGCCATGCCCAGATGTTTGAGCACTGCTAGGTTTGATAATAGGAGTGGCATTCACTTCCTAAACAACATGTCTCTGGAAACTCTATGAACTTTGAACGATGATAGTTGTAGAAAGGCTTCAGGTCTTTTGTTCATAGGGTCGTTATGACTCGTGCTTGACTCAACAGCAACAACAGGTTTGATGGAGGGAGAAGAAGTATGGGGGTGCTAACTCAGCTGCAAAATGCCAACCAACCTGTAAAGCCTTCACTCCTTTCTGATAATCCCAGCTCCATATTCCCTTGGACTTTGTTTACCTATAGCCACAGCCAGAGAAAAAAATGATCACATCTATGCAGGAGTATGGGGAGGGGAGGAGGGAAGGTTGGAGGGAGGGTGGAGTATATAGCCAGAATGCTCCTTAAGGATGTTGGATCTTTGTCCCACAGACTTCGGTGATGTTATCTGTAGGGACCAGTCTCTGGGGAAGGATATGATGCTTGATAAAGTAGAGGATCTTTGCAAAAGAAGAAGGTCTTCAAGGACATGGATTGAGACATAGATTGACACCCGGGTTGCAGCAATGGGCTCAAACAGCAATGACTGCAGTGGTGTCATTTTTTTTTTTTTTTAGCTTATCAGCCAGAAACCAAACCCACTGGGGCTGATTGGAGACAATCAATCCCAATGGGAGGAAATGGACTCATCTTACTCCCTTGGAGCAGCTGTTGGGTTCAAACTATTCACCTTTCATTTAGCAACCCAATACCTATCCTATTATGCCACAAAGTTTGAATATTCAAACTTGCTGCCATGGGGTCAGATTCAATTCATAGGGGAATCTTCCAGTGGGTTTTCAAAGGCTTCAAATTGCATGGGAGGAGACTGTCCATCTTTCTCCCACAGAGCCGCCAGTGGATTTGAATTGCCAGGGAGGTGTCATATTTAAGTTTCCAGCGCAGCTCCCTATGGACTACACCCCTAGGATCCCCCCCTTTTTTTAGGATTCCTTTTTATACATAAATCTCTTGTTTTATACATAAAGCTCTTGTTGTTAGGTGGCATTGGTTAAGTTTCATCTCATGAACAACAGAGTTGAACCTTGTCCTATCCTGCACCATCCTCATGATGTCTGGCACACACGTCTGCGTCCATTGTCACATAGTATTGGTCCATTTTGTTGAGGGTCTTCCTCTTTTTCTTTCACTCTCTGCCTTTCCCAGCATGAAGCAGCCATTTAAAAAGAGGAGAAGAAAATGAAGGACAAGATGAGAAAGAAAAATGAAGCCCTTCTTAAAGACTCAAGAATCCAAGATGTTGTTGTTATGCACTGTTAAGTCACCTGCCACTGTTAGCAACAATAGCAGCTCTGAAGCCTGCCCTGTCCTGAGCCAGTCTCACTAATTCTGACACATCAACTCACATTGCCCCAGTTACTGTATCAGTCCATCTCATCCAGGGTTTTCCTCTCCTGCGCTGTTCCTCTGCCCTTTCAAGTATGATGTCCTTCTCCAAGGACCAGTCCTTTCTGGCAATCAAAGTATGTGAGATGGAGCTTTAAAATCCTAGAGAAACCTGGTTTTACTCTTTCCAAGAAAGACCTATTTGTTTTCTTAGTGGTCTATGGTATGTTCAAGACTCTTTTCGAAAACCACAACTCAAAGGCATCAATTCTTCTGTCATCCTTAGTTATTGTCCAGTTCTCTGATGCATAGCAAGTAATTGTGAAGACCATGGGCTAGAATCCAGGATGAACATTTGCGAATCCCTAGATGGAAAAAGTGCTCATACATTCAATTACCAATCACAAGGTTGGTGGTTGAGTTCACTCAGAAGTACCTTGAAAGAAAGGACTGGCAATCTAGTTTAGATAAAAAAAAAAAAAAAACCACCCAAAAACACCACAAGTGATTGAAAACTCTATGGAGTAAGTAATCACCCGTTAACATTTAATAAAGGGATGAGATTTTGAGGTTAGCTGGATTCACACTTCTTCTTGATCAATGAACTACCCACAAATATTGAATGGAATGTCTGAGACTAAGAGTAACACAAGAGTTATTAAAATCCACCAGATGCTCTGCTGAAAAAGGAGGGACAATCTCCTTCTGTACCAGTCAAATCTGATTTGATGGTACACACAGAAATAATATAAGATTAACACAAGAATTAATAGTGAGAGAGAGGTGTGGGGTAAACAAGCAAGGAAGAGCATAAGGGATTAGACAAGGAAAGGTAAGCCACAAAAGATACCATTTTTGCTTTAATGTGGCTGTCAAGCCCGATCAGCAGGTTATGTGCACCACAGGGCACCTGTTGGTGAGTCTAAGTGAGACATTCCAAGAGGTGAAGTCAATATTCAAAGAAAGAAGGAAGTAATGAAGTGATAAGATGGAGGCAGGATCTCCCTCGAGTAATGGCAAAGTTATTAAAACAAAAAAAGGAATGAAGTACATGAAAGTTTGCTTAGAACCCAATATGAAGAGATGGTCCATTATAAGCTACTTATATGGGCTTGTATTGGTCTCATGTAATATCTCTTTTTACTCATTCGTGTTGTTTACTAAAAAAGAGGCTGAATTCTTTGTCTCTTATTCTTGGAGAATAAAATCACTCAAAGTACTCAGCCTGGGTTCCAATGAATATGGTGCCCTTGCCAAATTCCAAATTAGTTTTATAAACAAAATGAACTCTCAGTCTCTGTTTTAGATTAGCATAACCACAAGAGTGGCTGAGAGTTTGTTTTATATATAAGAGGTGAATTTGAAATTAGCTCTTCTAGTACAAACCTCCTAAATATCTTCTGACAAAACAAGCTCTAGTCCTAAAAGAATGTTATCTGAAAACCCCATGGGAACAACCAAAGTCCTCCAGCCCAGCTCCCTATCCCACCCTCATACTAACAAGCTTGCAATCCATAGACTGACCACGTGGAAGCAGTTTGACAGAGAAGTGGGATTCTCTGCTTAATCCCAAACCACAATCGTAGGCCTCAAGAAGAGCAAACACTGATATTTCACACCTATCTCCTCCATGTAGGGAGCTCTGGTGGTGTACCCCACAATGAGGTGGTCTGCTAACCCAATGGCCACATGTCTCCAGTGGTTGAGTCCATGATGCTGCTCCTTATCACAGCTCACAACCTCAGAAACCTGATGAGGGTCACTCTAAGTCAGAATGGACTCAAGGGCAGTTACCTAACTTTCCTAAATTACTCCCTCAGAAACGCCAAGCCAAATTCCCTCTCCAGCCAGCTGACAACAGCCCCAAGACTACAATAGGCAAAAAAAGCAAAGGGCACCTATGCATTCATCAATCCAGGCTGAGTGCTTTGAGTGATCACATTCCCCATGAACAAGAGACAAAAGAATTTTTAACATTGTGGCCCAC